GGCCACCATCTACAGGGTAAAGGGAGGATGATTAAATTCATAAAAGATTATGGCCTCAGATGGACTTAATGTTCAGAATTCTCTGAAATTGAGCTTCTGAAGAGTTTTGCTAATCCCTACTCTTCCCAAATACAAAGATTCAGTTTATTCCTGAGATTATCCAGTCGAAAGTGGAAAAAAAAAATTCACCTTAAGACGAACTTCGTTGGCTTTGGGGGGTGCAACCTCCACCTCCTCAATGGAAAAGGGTTTTTTTACATCCCATAGCACAGCTGCTTTGCATTTTATTACCTGGAAAATAGAATAGAAATATGATACGTTTTTCCCCCACTCTTGAAGTGAGGGTTTGTGTCTATTTTAGTATGTGCAACATCTAGCCCCATGTCTGGTACAAACAACTCCATAGAAATGAACACCTCTGATGTGCAAAGAGAAAAACAAAAAAAACTTTTTAAAAAATGTGTAAAACAATAACATAAGGGAAAAGAAACAGAATTATCCATACTAAGACATAAGGTTGAAGATGTTCTTTTAGGCAATTATTACATTACTTTTTTTTCTCTAAGGATGTTTATTCCTGATATTTCCTAATGCTTTGTCCTGAAATTGGTTGTTTACCCAAAATGCTGGCTTGTACATGAAGTTCTATGTTACCATTATTTGCTTGACAGAAAAAAAATCATGTCTGTTCACATAAAATCTATTGCTCTCTTGCTGAATTCTTTGTTTAAGGCAAAACACACTGGCTTTATGGTAACAGGTACCCACCTGCCTCCCTGTTTTCGACAGATTCTCTTGTTCTTTGTTTGTCTGCTGTCCACTTTCTTTGAGTTCCTTTTCCCACACTTTTGTGTACTTCTCGTTTGCCTTATGCAATTTGAACTTAGCTTTGGCAGCCTTGTTTTGTTGTCCAATTTCTGTGTAGGAACTTCTTCCAGATAAGATTTGAGCCAAAAAGTACAGAGTTCAAAGCTCGAGAGTGAAAAGGACAAGCACACTCATATATGAATGTGTATATATATTTAAAAACAGGAGAACTGTGTATCTGAATTTCTAGGTGGCACACATTAATCACAGATACTCTTTTTTTTTTTTAATTATTGTACTTTAGATGAAGGTTTACATAACAAACTAGCTTCTCATTAAATAACTAGTACACATATTGTTTTGTGACATTGATTACCAACCGCACTACATGTCAGCACTCTCCCTTCTTGACCTTGGGTTCCCTATTACCAGCTTTCCTTCCTCTCCTGCCTTCTAGTCCTTGCCCCTGGGCTGGTGTGCCCCTTTAGTCTCATTTTGTTTTATGGGCCTGTCTACTCTTTGGCTGAAGGGTGAACCTCAGGAGTGACTTTGTTACTGAGCTAAAAGGGTGTCTGGGGGCCACACTCTCACGATTTCTCCAGTTTCTTTCAGGGCAGTAAGTCTGGTCTTTTTTTTTAACCACAGATGTTCTTAACAGTTAAGTACATATTTTCAGTGCTTGGAAATGTTGAGAATGTACTAAAACCTGTTTTCCTTGCTGCGAAGCTTGTACACTTAAGAGAGTTTTTTTTTAATAGAGAGAGTTGACGTACCCACAAAAATGATAAAAATACAATTGATTTTTATTTCTTTGAAATTGGTTTTCACTATTGATTTGTCAAATCCTCATACTTTGCAGGGTTTTGGCTATTGCCAATGCCACAATAAGTATGAGAGTACTTGAAAAAGGTACACTGATCGTAGTTAGGTCCTTACTGTTAGGTGTCTATTGTCTTAGGTTGGGTTCTCTAGAGAAGCAAAACCAGTGAAACATATATATGTGTGTGTGTGTATGTGTACAGAGAGAGAGAGAGAGAAAGAAACAGAGAAAGAAAGAGAGAGAGATTTATCTGGAGGAAACGGCTAATGAGATTGTAGAGGCTAGCAAGTCCCAAGTCCATGAGTCAGGTGTTAGGCTGGAGGCTTTTTCTGACTCACATCACTGCAGGGGCTGAAAGAACCAAAGATTGGAAGGTCAGACAGTGGGCTGCTGGCTCACAGATTGTGGAGGCCAAGAATCCTAAGATTGGCAGACAAAAAGACAGGCTGGCTCAAGTCTCAAGAACTGGAAGTCAGATGATGATGAGTCAG